TGACCTTGCGGTGTGGATAGTCAGAATCTGGAGACAACTCCAGTGCCCATCGGCGGTGGAATGGTATACCTCAATAGAACATTCTACCTCACTGTATGTTGAGTGAAAGAAACCAGGCACAAAAGATCGGGTGGTTTCTCTGATACAAAGTTACACACATCATCAACTAGTCTACGGTTTTAGAAGTCAGGCTAACGGTTGCCTTCCAGGATAACGGTGCCCTGGGTTATTGATGATGCTCTGTCTTGACCTGATACTGGTTGCACAGGTAAGTTCACTTAAAAAAACAAATCTCTTGAGCCTTATACTCACTTGGGCACTTTACTATATGTATGTTGTGCTGTAAGAGAGAGTTTATGTAAAAAAAAAAAATAGATCAGCTCTGAAGGAACGGCAGAGCAAGAGTAGAGCTGGCAGAGACCTGGAGGGGGTGGGGCTCTTGTCATCTTCCTGGAAACCCCTGCAAGTGTTTCTTGGCATCGAGTAAGAGCCACTAGAGATGGAGGAAAGGGAGGTGCTGCTCAGTGGAGCCGAGCCCCCAAAGCTTTGGTTTGGACTGGGGGAGAGAGGGGGCTTCCGGGTGCCGCCAGGAAAGAGACGTGCCCTGCCTGGAGAAGGGAGGAAGAGTGGGTAGAAGCATCTCTTCTGTTCTAATTGAGGACACCCAGGGAAGCTCAGTCATGTGCAGTCCTTTAGCTGAGCATGAAGATGGCCATCAGCCTTACGTCTGTGGCTGCTCAGAGATGGGAGCTCGGGAAAATACTCTCCTTGACCTATTTGTTCTACACCGTTCAGTTCAAGACTTATGTGACCATATGCATGAAACTACACCTCAGTACTCCTGCTGTGCAGCTGTAGGAGAATTTCTTAACCTCTCTTAAGCCCCCAGTTCCTTGGATATTAAATTAAGCCATCCGTGGGGCTCCTGGGTGGCTCAATCAGTTAAGCATCTACCTTCAGCTCAGGTCATGATCCCAGGGTCCTGGGATTGAGCCCGAGTGGGACTCCCAGGGGAGCCTGCTTTTCCCTCTCCCTCCCCCTGCTCATTCTCTCTCTCTCTCAAATGAAAAAGAAAAAATCTTAAAAAAAAAAATGAGGCCATCTGATATCTGCAGCATAGACTGTTTTAAGAAACAACTGAGTTACCATGTATGAGATGCCCACCCAGCACAGTGCCCACATTGGTGGGTGTTCAGTAACTGGCTGCTATTAGAGTTATTACTTGTATTCCTACCAGCTCTCAAGTCTGATTGTTTAAAAAAAAAAAAAAAAAGAATGGTGGGCATGTGATTGATGAAAGTAAGGCTCAATCCTAAATAAGATGTGGGAGCCTCAAGCAGGGAGATGAATACTCTGCATTATAAAACTTCCCAAGCATTTCTGTCACCAGCCTCTTCTATAACCCACCTTTGTGTGAAAGTGGAAACAAGCAGCCAGAGGAACTTCCAGCCAGAGGGCCCAGCGCTGCTCCCAAGCCCACTCCCACCCAGCCCTGTAGGAGAGACCTTGGGCTCAGCTTCACCCCATGACTGCCCTCACTTGGAGCCAGTGTCCATCCAGGGCAGACCTTCAGCCAGTGAAAGGCCTTTCTGCACGTCAGCCATGGATTTCCAGCCAGGAATACTGGCTAAAGCCCAAATGACATTTGCAGAATCTGCAATGAAGAGTTTTTTCCTTCAGCAGCTGGAGAGAAAAATAAAAGGGAGGATGGCCAGCCTGTGAGTAGAAGGTGGGAAAGGGACAGTAGGTCTCATGCTGCTGAGATGTCGGGGCCTGGGCAGCAGCACCTCTCCTGATGATGCACCAGAAAAGGAGAGAGCTGGTTCTTTAACTTTGCCGGAGGTCTAGTGAAGAATGCGTACCTGTTCTTCTACGTGAGTAACTTGGAAATTTTCCCATATCACATTGAAGGAAATGCTGCCAGAAGCATGCACTATTCCTGAATCAGAGAAGTAAGCAGAATTTTCCAAAGGCTCACCTCCCACCTCCCACCTCCCAGCTCGGACCTTGCATCCCGTCGCAGGATTTGTTGTCAACATGTGCTTCTTCTTCATCCTTGAACACATCGAGGCATGACTTGAGGACATCATTTGAACATTTCTGGGAATATTTAAAAATTCTATAACCCATTAGAAGTTTATAAAACCTTACTCATACCCTGCAAGAAAGCTGGAGGAGGAGGAGAAACACCAGAGCGAGAGAGGAGAGCCAGACCACCCGGCCGGCAGCCAGCCCTAGCTGGGGAGGGCAGAAGTGGCAGCAAAGTGGTCAGATTTGCACTTTGGACGGACACCTGCAGGCCTGAATTCAGACTGTCGGTGACTTAATGACACCCATGAAACTGACCTGACAGTGTGACCAGAAAAGGCATGAGGTGCCTCTGTTTTCATCCAGGGGCAGAAAAGGAACTGCCCCCCCACCCACTGAGCAACTTTAAAGGCACAGACAGAGCCAAAAGTTTGTTTCTAAAAGGTGCAAACTTTTCTCATCGTGTTGGAGAGGAAAAAGTTTTGTCTAAGCAGAACTGAGTAAATGCTACCATTGTGGGTGTTGTGGACTGAACTGAATGGAGGATTCAGACAGTTTTCATGAATGAAGACAACTTTCTCTCTTTTGAGATTCACAGCCATCCACCTTGAAGTTGCATTAGGCATGAGCAAGTCAGCCAGCCTAGCAGATCTAAAGCTCTGTAGCATTGGGCGGTATTTTGTGCAAGTTCTGATTTCATACCTAGTATTTTGGGGGTATTCCTTAGAGACTTCCAGAACTTGGGGATCCACAGGTGAAAATTTCCAGGTGATACTCTCAGAATAGTCTGTGGACCCAGAGATTCTGTGGGATTTGTACATAGGAGGTAATTCAGGGCTTAGGTTTGAGGAAAGACGCTGAGATGAAAGAAGGCCCAGCAGAGGTAAAAACAGATCCCATATATCTTCACTAAAAAAAAAAAAAAAGATATTTGAACAGCTACCTATTAAAACCCTGTAACCTTCTGCGTCCCCCAAGTCCCCTCGGTGATTTGCAGTATGGGTGCGTGTGCCAGAGACTTGTTAAAACCCCGCCCACCACACATCTTTGTCAGACCGAGACGGGGCCATTCCTGACGCTCTGGCGTCTGCCAGTAAGTTGAGCACACAGGCCACATGGGATAGAATTATGAGAGCAGCTTGACTTTTGGCTCCGTCTGTGCCTTCAAAGTCAGTGCGGGGTAGTTCTCTTTCTGCCTCTGGATGAAAACAGAGGCACCTCATGCCTTTTCTGGTCACACTGTCAGGTCAGTTTCATGGGTGTCATTAAGTCACCGACAGTCTGAATTCAGGCCTGCAGGTGTCCGTCCACAGTGCGAACTGACCACTTTGCTGCCACTTCTGCCCTCCCCAGCTAGGGCTGGCTGCCGGCCGGGTGGTCTGGCTCTCTTCTCTCGCTTTGGTGTTTCTCCTCCTCCTCCAGCTTGCTAATGAAGCTTTGGGCCCTCTCCCACCAAGTGGAAGTGGGGAGGGAGAAAAAGGAAGTGGGAAAGGGAAGTCAAGAGATGGTTTGGGGCAGACCTTTAAAACCTGCTCCTTGTGTCGTGGCCACTTCTGGGAGTTGTCTCGATCGCAGGCAGTGTTCTCTTTGCTGGCTGCTCCCTTTTCCACTGCACTTCTGCCTGTGGCGCACACGACTGCTTCTCCCTGAGTCAGGGGGAAACTGGCCAGTGGACAAGACTCCTTTTTAACCCACCATTCCCACCACCACCCCCTCAGACTGCTGTTCTTTCTGCAAACTCCCCATCCAGTCCCTGGGATTTATTATTTGTTTGCAGACACACTTTTCACATTTCTCACCAGGACCCTCAACTGCAGGGAACGTGATCGAGCTCCGAGTTAGCGTGGGTTTTGGGTTGGGAAAGAGGACCCCCCTATTCCTCCCACTTTGATGGGCTATAGAACTGTGTAGCTCTCTCCGAAGAAATTCTTCTCACAAATCCATTCCTCCCCTCCTCCTCTTCTTCCTCTCCTCCCCTTCCTCCTCCTCCTCCTTCTTCCTCTTCTCCCTCTTCTTTTTCTCCTTCTTCTTCCCCTTCTCCTCCTCGTCCTTCTTTTTCTCCCCCTCCTTCCGCTCCTCCTCCCCCTTCTTCTTTTTCCCCTTCTTCTTCTTCTTCCCCTTCTATTTCTTTTCTTTTTCTTTCTTTCTTTCTTTCTTTCTTTCTTTCTTTCTTTCTTTCTTTCTTTCTTTCTTTCTTTCTTTCTTTCTTCTCCTCCTCCTCCTCCTCCTCCTTCTTCTTCTTTTTCTTCTTCTTCTTCACCTCCTCCTCCTTCTCCTCCCTCTTCTTCTCCTCCTCCTCTTTCCTCCTCCTTCTCTTCTTCTTCTTCTCCTCCTCCTCCTCCCTCTTCTTCTCCTCCTCCTCCTCCTCTTCTTCTTCTTCTCCTCCTCCTCTCCGCCCCCCCCCACTGAAGTAGAGTTCACATAGCATAAAACTAAACATTTTAATGTGAGCAATGTGGTGGCATATACTACAATACTCTCTTTATCTCAGGTCACTTAGTCTTTTTATTACCTCTTTCTAGGTGAGGGTTGCAAAGTTAACATATTGGTTTGTTTAATATTTACTGGGTAAATTCTACTCATGGTCTGGCCCTTCACTTTTGGAGTTTCACAGTTGTATCTGCTGCCTTATTGGAAACGTCTAATTTAATATCTTTTGACCATGGATTATATCCTTAGACCTTCTGAAAGCCCTGTGAGGTGGGCGTTGTCCCTGTTTTACAGGTAAGCAAACAGAGAGGAGAAATGGCTTCCCTGTGTTCTGCTCGCAATGACGGGCAAGGCCAGGAGTCGAGAGGCCAGTTAGATGTGTGTCCTATCCACTCTGACGTGAAATGGTGACCAGCTGGTCTCCCTCCCCAGCCTACTGGGCCCTGGGCCCCCACCTAGCCTCTGTGTTCTGAGTCATTCTAGCAGACCTGGGTTTCACTACAAGCAATCCTGGAAGGTCTTATCAAGGCAAAGTGAGAATATCCTTCTCGAGTCCTATCTCTGCTGGTGAACAGGCAGGAGGGGCTGCCCCCGCGCTCTGCTCCTCTAGCCTGGCTTGAGCCTGGGGCCTTTCCAGGTGCTGCATGCAGCAAGGAAGTCCTTTGCCAGCACAAATGGTTGCTGGACTCTGGAGACGAGACCTGCTCGGCCCAGAGAGCAGCACAGGGTACTGGGTGTATGTGAGGAGCCTGGAGGCTGAGAGCCTGTGCTCCCCGGGTAGGCAGGAGAGGGGAAGGCACAGGTCCCAAGTAGCCAGCCTGTCAGGCCTTGAGGCACCCTGCCTGTGGGACTGTGTCGCCTGCCTTGCCGTCCCAAGCTGCTGGGAGACTCGGGGAAAGTCTCCGGCACAGCTCGGACTCGGAAGTGTCTGGGACTGTCAACCTGGGCACTCTTCTCAAGCAGTGACCCTTGAGCTTCCAACTAATTTGCCTTTTTGCTTTCTCTTTTCAGGGAGCCCAAAAGGTGCGATGCTCACCCATGGGAACGTGGTGGCTGATTTCTCAGGCTTTCTGAAAGTGACAGAGGTGAATAAAGTAGACTCACTAAACAGGTGTCTCTTGAGGACACCCTGGAGCCTCAGAGGTTTTTTGTTTGTTTTCTGTTTTTTCCCCCTGATGTAATCTGAGCTGCCTTTCCCAGGCAGGAGTTTCTTTTGACATTAGAGCAATCCGACTTCTACAGACACTTTAACCCCCAAGCCCTGAAATGATCCATACCTGATAAATAGCCAGTTTGATTTCTAAGAGTGCTAAGATCCCAGAAAGAGAAACATGTAAACCTGCGTTTCATTTTTAACTGCAAAAATTGAGATATCTGTGGTTTCCTGTCTACCTTTATTTAGAAAGTAATCCTTAATAACTTGTTTTTCCCATAGGTCAGGGTTTAATTCAGTCATTTTGTGTTTAAGGACTACTAGAGTCTGAGAAACAATGGCAACTGCTAATTTGTAAGACTGTACTTAAAAAGGTAAATCTAAAGTAAAAAAAAAAAAAAAAAAAGCTTGATATCTTGGCCTGACAAAAGCATGTTAGCTTTTTATAACCGACTAAGAAAGAAGGACGTTTTTCCACAAGTGGTGAGTATCCATATGTCCTGCAAGTTTCCTTAAGGAGAAAGGAATGTTCCTTTTCACATAAGTTAGGCTTTTTCTCCACTGTGGAGAAAAATCACTCTTCTACATTCATGCCAGATGGCATTATGGAGCACATGCCCCCCAGACCCTGATAGATTTTTGGTAGAAGGCGGTGAGAGGCTGTTGGTGGCTGAACCCACGTCGGGAGCCGTAAGCCAGGTTCCCAGGGCTTGTCCAGACTCATTCAAAAGCCAGCCCTGGAGAACGAAGGCCCTGTGAAAGGGTGGGGGGCAGGGGAGTCCAGCAAAGAAGAGCTCCCGAGGGCCCAGCCCGCCCCTGAGCGCAGGCCTTGTGCAGGCCCCCCCCAGTCCTTGAGGTCAGTTCCCTGTGTGTGTCGTGGGCTGGGGTGCACAGCAGGGCTCCCTCTCAGCCTCCCCTATGGGTTCTGTCCACAGGCCATGGCTTTCGAGGCCTGGTTCAGCCATCTGTTTGCCTGGGGCTTCTACCCTAGCCACAGTTGGTGCAGACCTAGGGCTCCCCAGGTCCCTGTTCCGGAAGAAGGACTAGAAAGGGCCAACAAGTCTAGCCCCTTGGACTCCCTGCCCAGGTGGGCCAGGGAGATGGCGAAGGGGGCCTGGCCCCGGAGGAGACTTCCCTGCGGAGCTCGACTCTGCTGGTTTATGTGTGCTTCACTGGGCTTTTTGCTTCTGCAGATAACCTAGACCCACTGGCTGCGCCCTAACACTCGGCTTCCTGCGCTGCCCTGTCTCTCTCTCCCTCTGTCCTTCCTGCGCCTTTCACCTTCCTCTCTCTCTCTCTCTCACACTGTTTCTCTCTCTCATCTGGCCTCTCTCTTTGTCCCCCCTCCATCCCCCCCCATTTCCCTTCCCCCTCCCTGTTTGCCCCTCCAGGACCATTTTCTCTGTATTGTTTTATGACTCTCTCGTCGTCTTCCTGTCAGTGTTTCTTTCCTTTCTGTCTCCCATGCCCGTCACCTGCAGAAAGTGATCTTTCCGAGACAGGACGATGTGCTCATCTCCTTCCTGCCTCTGGCTCACATGTTTGAGAGAGTAATCCAGGTAAGACGCCCACCTGACTGACCGGGCCTTGCCTGGGCTCCTTCTGTTTTCTTACAGAGTCAGTGGGCTCCCACTTGTGCGGATGTGCACATTGCCTATTTGCCTTTAGCACACATGTTTGAGCGAATGGTGCAGGTAAGGCCCTGGCTCCGGGAGGCACAGTTTGTGCCCAGAACCCAGAACCCTAGCAGAGTGTCACTTTGTCACTGGTGCTAGGAGGTAGAACTAAACTGCCCTGTCCTCGCAAGGTACCACAGGGGTCAGGGGACCTTGGCTGCCCGACCTGTCCCTCCTGGGAAGACTCCAGGGATGACCCTAGGCCTGCCTTGTCTTACCTGTGGAGATACCTCAGCCGAGAGAGGCCCCAGCTGGCGGCCCGTGCTCAGTGAGGATCACGGCTTTGCAGACGTGTTTTACATTCACACTCTGTGCGCTATGGCTCTGCTTATGGCCGCGACACTTATATACCATAACTTCCAGAACTCATGAACTCCCGGAAAGGAAAACAAGACAGTAAAGTTGGGGAATCAAACTGCCATGACCCCTCGCTCCAGAGATAGGACCGGCATTATGATCAGCCCTGAGACCGGCCTTGGGGGGGTGCAGAGGGAGCGGGGGGAGTCCATGTAAGGCTGTGGGAACAAAGAATTTTCCAGGCACGTGTCACTCAGGGAACCAGCTTGTGAATAAGCTGTGTTTTTTTTTAATTTATTTATTTGAGAGAGAGAGCGAGAGAGCACAAGCAGGGGGAGCAGCAGAGGGAGAGGGAGAAGCAGGCTGCCCTCTGAGTAAGGAGTCCCATGTGGAGCTGGATCCCAGAACCCTGGGATCATGACCTGAGCCAAAGGCAGATGTTTAACCAACAGAGCCATGTAGGCTCCCCTACGCTGTGTCTTCTAAGCCTCTCCCATCTTGCTTGGGGGAGAGCTGGTATATTAGGGCATGCTCTCCAGCTTTTCAGACGTGGATTAGAATGCCATAGTTCATTACTATGAACTAGTTTTGTGACCCTTTACCTCTCTAACTTTTGCATTCCTTGCCTATAAAATGGAGCTATAAATGCTGCCTAACTTGTAGGGTTGCTATGAGCGTTAAAGAAAGGAGCATGAATTAGGCCCCAAGCATATTCCTAAACCCATTAAGAACCAGCCAGCCCTCCGCCCCACTTGGCCCCCTACCGAACAACACCCACAGCCAACATTAGCAATGTGTCACAGTATTCGTGGGCACTGCACACCCTTCCAGAGTTGCTGAGGTGTCCCTGGGGGAAATCCACAGACCTGGAACAGACCCGGTGATAGGGTGCAGTACAGCTCAGAGACCTGAGTCCCCAGGGAGGTCCTTGCCCAGGGCTTGGGAGTTGAGCATGAGGGAGCAGGCACCAGTGAGCCTGGCTGCTCTGGGATCTCCCGGAGGCCCGGGATTCCCCTCCGTCTCCTGCTGCTTCACCCCGTGCCTAAGTGGGACTTAGTGGGAGGGGGGGCACCTCAGATGGTATTCTTGAGTGTCTCACGGCAGCAGCCAGAGCTAGGTTAGGGGGTCATGGGTGCCCTCCATGTAGGGCAGAGCTTTGGACCGTAGCCAGGAGTGACCACCCTGAGGGACTCCTCCCTTCCTGTCCTCTCCCTCCAGTCTGTTGTCTACTGCCATGGGGGGCGCGTCGGCTTCTTCCAGGGAGACATCCGTCTCCTCTCAGATGACATGAAGGCTCTGCACCCCACCATCTTCCCTGTGGTCCCTCGATTGCTGAACCGGATGTATGACAAGGTGAGCCCCATAGGGAGTCTCTGACCAGGCTGAGGTGCTGTGTATCTGCTGTCCGGACAAGGTCTGGAACCCCAGGCGGGCTTACCATGCCTCCTCCCCCAGGTCCTAGAAGTTGCCTCCTCTCTTGTATTCCTTCGCCCTCACCTTCCTTCTCCTGTTTTCTTTCAATTCTCTAAAACCCTGTTTAAGGAGATTTTCTCTTCAGGAATTTCTATCCCTACAACGTGACCAGACGCTGGTTAACCTTTAGCTGGGTATCACACATCCACTGATCTCCTGCAGAGGCAAAAATGGAGTGTGACTTCTCTGTTGGTCAGGCTGTGGGAACAAAGGCCTTCTTCCGGCGGGGGGCGGGGGGGCGTCTGTTAGAGGTAGTACACACAGGCCCAACAGCTGTCTTCCAACTTCTGTTCCTCAGATCTTCAGCCAGGCAGACACACCATTAAAGCGCTGGCTCTTGGAGTTTGCAGCAAAGCGTAAACAGGCTGAGGTCCGGAGTGGAATCATCAGGAATGATAGTATCTGGGATGAACTCTTTTTTAATAAGATTCAGGTAAGAAAATGAACAAGTGGCACCCAAGTGGCCTTATAGAAGAATTTGAGAAGCTCATTCCAGTGGCCTGGAATCTTATAAAATAACTCATTTGCTCATGAAATCAAAGCTTAAGCTACCATAGAATAATTAAAGGACTCATTTTTATTATCTGGATGTGTGTGATATTTGCCAAAAGGCAACCAGCAAGAAGGACTCCTGGAAAGTAGGTCCCTTGGTCTCCACAGACATTAGGGTAACTTTGCCCTTGGGTAGTCAGGTCCATCAGGAGCTCCTGTGGCCTAAAGTTTCTCTTGCCCCTCCCTGTAGCCTTGGCCGTGCTGGCTTTCCAGCAGCACTAGGTTCTAGCCACGAGGCCAAGAAGCTTCCTTTCCCTTCTTATTTCCTATCCCTTCAACCTCTCCCAGACCGGGCTGATCATGAATTACTCACTTGTGTATCCCCACGTAAGTTTTCAGGCTCTGCATTACCCAAGGAACGTGTAGCTAATTAGTAGCATTACTCATTTTTTTCTTACTACTCTATTTTTAGCTAAGACAATTAATATTTAAACTCTCTTGGCTCAACTTACAGAAAGAAAGTGCTTAAAGAATCCGTTGTCCTCCGCTGTGCATAGTAAATAGAGCAGAGCATGGTATTGATTTATAAATGAGAAAAGGCTATGCCATTATGATGGAAGTGGGAAAAAATTGTCCTAAGTAATTGTTTTGGCTACTTGCAAATGATGGGAGAGTGAGGGAAAAGCTGTGTATTTGAAGGAAGGAAGAGCCAAAATTATAGAATAGCACAGATTAATGGCACTTACCTCCAAAGACACAGAGGAGTTGGCCATACTGTGGGTCGAGTTGCAAAGCTGATTGGGTTGATTTCGTTTGAAAGGAGAAGCGACTTCTTCAGCCTAGGGCCTTCTCTTTCATCCCTTCCCTAGGGCCGGGTGGGGGTCCAACTGTTGAATGCCGACCTTGGATGAGGCCCACATGGGCTAGACGCCATCTCCAGCAGCGCAAACTTCGGCAGTTTCCTTTCTCTTCCCACAGGCCAGTCTTGGTGGGTGTGTGCGGATGATTGTCACTGGAGCGGCCCCCGCATCACCGACAGTGCTGGGATTCCTCCGGGCGGCTCTGGGGTGCCAGGTATAGCCTTTCCACGACTTTCCCTAGGGACAATGGGACATGTGGTCGGGGCAGAGCAGGAAACCCACTACACCCTCTCCTGAAGAGAGAAAGATCCTGGGGGCAGGATTTTAGTGGGACAAAAGCTCCCTCCTCTGAGGATGAAAAAGGCTCAGAGTCAGTGAAAGCCAAGATGATCTTGTGACATTCTGCAAAGTCCAGGTGTACCCACTTTGGGAAGAGGGGTCAGTTAAACTCTATATGGGTCATTGTTGTGCTAGAGAACCCATACCACATCTGTGCCAGCATCTCTGCATTCTCCGTCCTGCAAAATATCTCCCCACCTGGAAAAGGAGCACTAGAGAGGGGGATGAGAGCCCATTGGTGTTTTGTTAGTTGATTCAATAGGTTTTGTCATCCCCTAAAACACTCATTCCTTCATTTATCTATTCAATTAATATTTATTAAGTTCCTATAGATGCAGGGCTGTGACTCGTGTGTTTCATGTGAAGTAGGTGCATCTGTTTCATAAAAGTACATGCTTAAGTTTTTATACTTTAGAAGCCGGTGCTCCCTTCACTGTCCTATTCTGTACCAACATGGCGTGGCCACTCTTAAAGGCAGGTTGTCTCACGTGCTGTATTCCTGCAAACACTTGGGGCTCTGGAGGGGAATATCTTACAGAGTAAAAGTAAAACGTACAGTAGGTTCTAAAATATTTGTCTCTCATACCTATCATCCAAATGAAAAATAGAGTCAGTAGTTGAAAATAGGTCAGAAATCTTTACCCCAAACCACATAACTTTATCTCCTAAGTGTCGGTAGTAAAAATAGCACTACTTCCAAGCCAAGGAGTCACACCTGTTGTGTGTGTTCAGTTTCACCTGGAGTAACCTACCTCCCTTCTCATTGTCCCCAGCATGGAACAACCAGATGCTCAGTGGGAGGTTAACTGGCTGAAAAAGGCAGCCGGTCATCTGTAGGAACATGTATACTTACAGCATGGTTTCGTTTTTCATTTGAAGGTTTATGAAGGTTACGGCCAAACTGAGTGTACGGCTGGATGTACCTTCACCACGCCCGGGGACTGGACCTCAGGTAGGATGGACTGGAGATGTGGGAATGATTCATGGGGCACTGCTGATCTAAAACTTCTTTATGGAAAGCAAATTTACAGGGGCACTTACGGAAAAAGTAACAGAAAAATAAGAAAAACACTGATGGTGGTTATGTCTGGGTTGTGGCACAATGGATATTGTTCTCTTTGCTACATATTTTTGTGATTTCCAAATATATTTTGTATTTTCCCATTTCTTCTATAGATAACTAAAAGTCATATATTAAAAAAAGAAGAAGAAGCAGTAGATCACAGAATATAGATATAGTTCCAAGGGGAAAAATGCTTTTAATATCAGTAAATGTCGGTATGTTAGGTTTTATAGGTTAGAACCTATTTTAGAATGAAGGAAGCAGGCTGTGAATTGGATATGATTTAGGAAGGAAGGGCAAGTTCATAGTGAGCACTATTTCTTAAACCATTTCTGAGACCCTTTGGGACCTGGGGTCTCCTATGATGTTAATGTTTAGAAGGCAACAGCATCGTCAGGAAGGAGCAGCTCCTTTCCACGCCCTCATTCTGAAGAGACTCATCTTCCAAGGCAAGGAGGAAGGTGTAGGTAGCCCATGTGTTTCCTATCACCAAATTTAGACCAGACACTAGAAGAATCTAAAAAACACTGAGCAAAAGAATCCTTCAGTATACCAACTTCCTCTGTGAGCCTGGGGCCACTCTTCAAGCTCAAGTTTACTCAACTACACACTAGAAAATTCCAGGTGATGCACATGGAAAAGAAGTATGCACAGCAATGCGATGCTGTTTTCAGAACACCTTGAGGCAGTCAGCAGAAACATAATAGGTGGATTCCATATTGGAATCATATTTGACCACGTCAAGGACAGAAGCATTTTTGTTTGAGTTTTATCTCTTCAGACTCTAGCTGAATAAAGCCTATCCTGTGTATAGATTCATTGCTCTCTCTATCCCTGGAAAATTTACTACAAGGACTGTCTTCCAAAGCCCTGGATCAGTAACATTTTTCTTATGGCTGCCATCATATTTACTGATCACTCACACAGATCCCCTTCTTTCTGGACACTCTCTTCCCTCTTAATATCATCCTCTACATTTTCCTATGTAAGATTTTTGAGATTTTGCCTTTTTAAGTCATCCTTACCACAAAAACTTGCCAAGCCTGTTGAGTATGAGAGGATAGATATCTTTGTCCAATATTGTAAAAGTCGGCAGCCTCTTATTTTAAAGAGAAATGGGAGTGTCACAACCTCAGTTTTCATCTATGGGTCTCACTGTTCTTTCAGGACCTTGGCCAGCACCTGCTCAAAAACCCTCCACCCCTTGCCAGTGAATTGTGCTAACAACCATAATTACTAGAAAAATGACTTAGATGTAATTGTGCAGTTGGGGTATATATGAGCAAGAACATTTGAAGTCTTATTTTTCAGGGACGAGTTATCTCATCCTTGTCTTCTATTCCTTTGTTACTCTAAGTGTGTAGTATGTTGGACTAGAAGCATCAGCATCCTCTGGGTGTCTGTAAGACATGGAGACTCTCAGGGCTCATCAGAATCTAAATTTTGAAAAGATTTCTAGATGGTTACTATGCACAGTAGCCAACAGTCTGGTGACTGATGGAAAAGTAATGACGATGGTATTTTATGATCCAAAACCAAGGGTCTGACAATGGGGGAAAATGTTTAACATAGGCCCTATTGGAAAAATCCTGATGGTATGGTTGGTGTGGGTAGGAACCGCCCCTACAGACCCCGTGCAGGTTGGTACTGGGCCAGGTGTGTCTCTTTAGCTTTTGTAAGAATCAGATGTAAAACAAAGACCCAGCAGAGGTTGGCCTGTCTTTTCCCCAGAACTTTTTTTAATCATCAGTGCTTGCCTGTGACAAATGCCCATCTAAAGGTATATTGCTCTCCTTCCATAATCCCCCACTTTGACAGTGGAGGGATTTTTACATGGCCCAGAGCACCTTCAGTGCTGAAACTGATCTAGACACTGACAAATGCCATATTGCTTTGGTGTTCTAGGGCATGTAGGGGCACCTCTGCCCTGCAATCATATCAAGCTCATCGATGTCGAGGAACTGAACTATTGGACCTGCAAAGGAGAGGGAGAGGTAAATTTAGGACCTTAGCTATTTATGTCTCTGGATGCCACATAGAGTGAGTAAAAGAAATAAAAAATGGAATTGTTTTCCTTTCACCCTCCCTGTAAAGTCACTTTAAATTACCGATTAACTTGACTCCATTGAATTCAGCATTTCTTCTCCTGCTTACGAAGCAACCAGCCTCCAAGGATGGGACTGGGCTGGTCTATTCCTTTGTTACTCTAAGTGTGTAGTATGTGGACTAGAAGCATCAGCATCCCCTGGGTGTCTGTAAGACATGGAGACTCTCAGGGCTCATCAGAATCTAAATTTTGAAAAGATTTCTAGAGGGTTACTATGCACATTAGCCAACAGTCTGGTGACTGATGGAAATATTTGAAATTTGAAGATTTTCAAGATTTTAAATTCCCAAACTTTTGCGGCACCTGGGTGGCTCAGTCAGTTAAGCATCCAGGTCATGATCTCAGGGTCGTGGGATTGAGCCCCGAATCAGGCTCTGCACTCAGTGGGGAGTCTGCTAGAGATTCTCTCCTCCCTCTCTGTCTCCCCCTCCCCCTGCTCATGCTCTCTCTCTCAAATAAATAAATCTTAAAAAAAAAAAAAGAAATTCGTAAACTTAAAAAAAAAAAAATCCATTTTTTCTCTAACTGACGTGGCCTGCTACTAGGTATGTGTCCCAGCAGAAGCAGGACCCTTGCAGCTAGGCCAGAAGAGGGGCATAGAGCTGGCCTGTACTTGCTCACTCCGTGGGAGTCGATGGGCACACTGCCCTGTCATGACGCAGGGGGCTCAAGCATCTCTGGTGGAATCAGCCAGCCATCAATACCTGAGGAGACCCCATCCAGTGTCACAAAGCAGGAGCCTGGGGGTGCGGTGAGGTGGGGGGCCAGGGCAGGGAGGAAACATGGCCAGGGCAGAAGATGCTCGTTGAGAGAAGCAGGAGACTGTTCAGTCCGCTGGTGGCCCTTCCTGTGCTCTGTCTCCATCCCTGCTGTTTCCACAGCGTATTTCTGGAGGGATAGGATGCCTTTTCCTACACACGCCTTGTGACAGCCCCGCATCGGGATTCCTCATGCTGTGGGCTGACAGAAACCCCGTGTTTGTCCCTACAGATATGCGTGAGAGGACCAAATGTGTTCAAAGGTTACTTGAAAGATCCAAACAGAACAAAGGAAGCCCTGGACAGTGACGGCTGGCTTCACACTGGGGACATTGGGAAGTGGCTGCCGGTGCGTACGTTTTCAGCCGCGGCTCCTCCCCGCATTCTCGCGGTGGGAGGGTGTATAATCCGACTCATTTCTGAGGCAGAATTCTTCTCCACATCTTCCCTGATAATTAGCCATTCAGGAACAACTGCTAGGCGGGTGGGGATAGGGAGGTTCTTCCTTATCTTGCCCCCAGAGCTTTCTTGTCCATCCTCCTGATAAAGGTGATAGAGATCTTTATGGGAGGGCAGAGCTGGAGTTTGAGACCTCTCCTTACTTTATCCCTTTCCCAACAGAGATCTACTGGTGCTGTGGGGTCTGATGGGTGGAGTACAAAGGGCAGGAAGCTCATAGCTCCGGGAGGTCTGAGAAAGGCAGGGCCTAGGGACCCACAGACCCTGGCCCCTCGCTGAGAGGTGGCACTGAGCAGTGGGAGAAGCTTGCAGCCAGGTGGGAGGGTGTCTGAGTTCCTTGGCTCTGCTAGCAGTTGCTAGGACCTTGCCCAAAGCCTCATCCATCTCTGGGGCTCCTGGTTGACTTTCTTGTGGAATAAGAGAGTAAGGCTACATGATACTCTTTGGCTGTGGCCCCCAACTTTTAACCAGACCCAGTTATTGTGCCTCTCTCTGTCATTTGTAAAATGGGGCTAATAACACTGATTACCTCTACGGTGGTTTTGAAGAATAAACTTAATAAAGTTATACCTGTAAAGCAGTTGGCACAATGCCAGGCACACAGGATATGCTTAGATAAAAACTATGACCAGAAAATGGCTTTGTTGCTGGAACCAAGAGCCCCTTGCCTGATGCAGCCCACCCCAGGAACCTCCCCTGTGTCTTTGTGAAGTTGCTAAGGTTTGGGGTGGACTTTCTGAAATGTAGAGTCTTGTTGGGCATGTGAATGATGCTGAGCCTTCCAGTGGTCCTGTGGGCTGGTGCGCAGATTCGCCCCTGCTTGAATCTGTGTCCTTCCTGGAGAAGCCCTCATTCCCGTAGCAGACACAGATGCATCCCTGGTGTGTGCCCTGGGCCAGGGACTCTGCTCGGGGAAGAGATGTCAATGTGATGTGCAATGTGATGGGCATAAGTGGAAGGCCACACTTGCCTGGAGAGAGGCAGAGGATGACAGGCGCCTACTGGAGTCTTAGGATGTGAGTCATGTTCGGAGGGGAGAGGAGAGGGTGGGGAGGATGGTCAGGGCAGGAGCGAGAGCACATGCTAAGTAGAGAGACAGAGAGGTGTGAGGTCAGTGGTTCTCCCTGAGGCCCCCCAGGTGTGGAGGAGAGAGGCTGGGGGAGCAGCAGGGCCTGCAGGCCGTCAGAGGGCAGATTGTCCCCTCGGCTAAGGAAGCCTTGGCTCAGAGCCCCTCACTGGCATGGGCCCCCCACCAAGCCTCTGCACTTCATTTTATATTATTTTTCTTAAAGAGGGGGGGCCTCAAAATTGGAAAAACCTTGAAGTTCCATAGAACCTTGGATCTGGTACTGATTCCCTCTAAGTTGGGTGCAACCACCCAGCTTGCAGGCGGTTGGGAGAAGCAAGTAAACTAATTCATGTGGAGACCTAGTGCTGCGCATACACTAAGAGCCCAGGACAGCTGGTAGGTGGTCTGGTGGTGTCCATTTTTTTTAATTATTAATGTTTTGAAAGAGTATTAGGTAGATTAAGGAAAAGGTACAAACTTCTCATCCAGAAAGACCTAACTGAAATCCTGGTTCCCCTGCCTTCTAGCTGTGTGGCTTTGGAGGAAGTAACCAAATTCTCTAACCCTCATTTTCATCATCTGTGAAATGGAAGTGACAATGCCCCGCTCAGGGGGTGCCACGAAGGTCAAAGAAGTCAGTGTAGGGGAAGTGCCTGAGGTCCAGCCTGGGTTTTGAACAAAACAGGGCCTGTTCGTTTTTCTTTTCCGGAGACTTTGCTCCCCTTTGGCCAATCAAACAGATGGAGGAGGGATAGAGTGTATGCAGAAGTCTGGTCAGGAAGTGGTTTTGATGGTGAAGGAGGTGGGTGTGGGAAGGATTTGTGATTGAGGACAATGAGCCTGACGGCCCGAAGTTCCAGGAGAGGCAAACAGCAAGGCCATCTCCAAGTTTGGGGCTTGGGGCTGGAATAGGCATGAGGAGGACAATGATGGGCTTCCTGAGTGGCCTGTTGCATCCTGCAGGGCGAACGGTCTGGTTTCTAAAGCGTCCTGAGTGTTAGGTCCTGGGTCTGGAATTCAGTGAAAAGGTTTGGCTGGACGCTTAGGCAGACGTGGGAGTGGCCAATGAAGAAATAAATGGAGCTGATTTCAAGGAACACTATCAGTGGAGGTGAAGAAAGTACAACATTCAAGGGTTGAGCCAAAGGAAAGAGACACACCAATTCCCCTAAGAAACTCAAAAAGGTCAAAGGGAGTCAAGGTCTGTAGGGGTTCTAGAGGCCAGGAGCACAAGCACTCACTGCCCAAGAGGTAGCCTGCCTGCTGCAGAGGTCCTGGAGGGGTGAGGACTCCTAATCCCATCTGGTCTGTCAGGGAGAAGTCACTGGGGGCCTCTGCCAAGCTCTGCTGTTTGCTGGGGGATGGAGAGGCCATTCTTTGGGAGTGGAGGCCATAGCTGGGCAGAGAGGCCTAAGCATTGTCCAAGGGAGTGAATTTGAGGATGGTGGTGAGAAAAGAGGCAGCCTGGGTGAGAGGGGAAGGTAGGCGAGCCTTCTGAGGAGGAGGACACCTGTTGCTGGGCATGAGGGTGGCAGGTGTGGGAGTGGGGAGTGGGGGGGCGAGGGCGGGGTAAGGGCTGGGAAGAGAGGACAGTGGGCACTCAGGGTCCAGCAGATCTTGAGAGCCATCAACCCGTGGTGCATGGCGGCCCTCTCTGACCACACAGGGGCTGTGTAAGAGCAGAGGCCTCAGGCGGAGGAGCAGATCCAGGTGGGGTGTGTGTTTGGGGGGGGACAGGGCAGGGGGGAGGGGCTATGGCACTGACGAGTGAGGGGCTTAAGCTCAAGAATGCTATCTTTTCCTGAAGCTTTGTTCAACTCCACAGGCAGGGACTCTTAAAATTATTGATCGGAAGAAGCACATATTTAAACTTGCTCAGGGAGAATATGTTGCACCCGAGAAGATTGAGAACATCTACATCCGGAGTGAGCCTGTGGCACAAATCTATGTCCATGGGGACAGTTTAAAGGTGAGTCTCCTGTGCTTCAGCCCTCCCACGCATACTGGGCCTGCTGAAAAATCTAGGGTTATTGGGGAATAATTTCCTCAGTATTTGGTATTCGATCATAGTGGTAAACATTGATTTCCAATGAGACACCGGTATTCTTCTGTATATGAAATCGTGAGAGAAAATTCCTTTTAAAGGAGAAATCTTACTGGCTTATAGTTTGATAAATTGCAATTAGGTGAAAAAGTTGCTTGAAATAGTGGTAATGAACATTCCCACTACTTTTAACTTATGTTCCATCTACTTCCAAGAGGGATATAGGATTTATGCTCTTTAGATTTTGAAATATGCAAATGAACTCTACAGATAAATGGGTACAATATTGCAAATAATGGTACTGATGATAACATAGCTCTCTCTCTCTATATATAACTAATATATTGAGCTAATAATATATATATGTATTGAGCTAATGTATTCAGCTAATGTTAACATAGTTAAGATTCAATTATTGGAGAGGATTTATATTTATTCTGCTTTCAACATCATTTAGATTTGAAGTCGGAAAGATCACTGTGAATATATTCTGTGCTATCATTGCATTCATTAAGCAAATATTATTAAAGAAAATGCTTTAAAAACTTAAAACGGAGCTCTTCATGAATGGGGACCATATTAATAAAACAATTTCAAAATGGTCTAGGAAACCTTGAGAAATATATGTGTTTGGGTTCGTAGAATTGTTTGGCTGGCATCTTAAAGGTGTCCTCCTTTAGGATTGGCATGAGAATCAAACGGTACTGATTCTTAATCTCCTTAAGCTTACACTTTATTAATTTTTTTTACAAAGTTAAGGAACTATATCAGAAAATAAACAGTTAAGAATGTGTGCTATATTGGTGGGAATGTTTCGTAACATAAGCATATACTTATTTTTAGAAAAGGATGGGATCAGAATACCAGGAGGTTATTTTTAATGCTGGACCACAAATAACCACTTTAAAAGCTTTTGTCTTGACTGCGTTTTCCTTTGGTTGGGATTGCAGGCCTTTTTGGTGGGTGTTGTCGTGCCTGACCCTGAAGTCATGCCCTCTTGGGCCCAGAAGAGAGGAATTGAAGGGTCATATGAAGAGCTCTGTGCAAATAAGGTCTGTACCTTGGTTGCTGGACCTCTTGATGCTACTGGGTAATGGGAGGGCAGAAACACAGTAAAGCAGTGGAATTTGAACATGAAGGGCCGTTTCTAACTTTATTTTATAAGTGGTAGAAATCCTAAACCAGAGGTTCATCTTTTTGTGATTGTTGTTGAAGGAATGCAGATTTCTTCTTAGAAAGTTTGATAAACTAACTATTGAACTGTTGGTGGGAGACGTCACAGAAAGCTCGTCCAGCCCTGCTGTCCTGCAGCTTGCAGTCAAGTCCAGAGAGGGAGGTGGCTGGCCCAAGGCCACACAGCTGACACAGCTGGTTACCAGCACTGTCAGGTGTGAGTATAGGCCTTCTGACTTGCTGGCCTTGCTCTTTCCAGACGTGAGGTGGCTTTTGTACATACTGGACTTAGACAGCCATGGAGTTGAGAAAAAAATAACACCTTCCTGCTTAGAGCTTTAGCCACTCAGGCATGTGTAGGGTCCTATGGAAGAGATCTCTGTGCTCTGGCTCAGCATCACCTCGTCCAGGCACATGGTCCATTTTTCAGCAGCACCCATGGACCTGAGCACTCCCTCTGGGTCCTGGGCTCTTCTGGGGGTGACAGCGTCCCTGGGACTCACCGGGCTGACCAGAGAGCCACTTTAAAAAATGGAGTGGTCCCGGGCGCCTGGGTGGCTCGGTTGGTTAGGCCACTGCCTTCGGCTCAGGTCATGATCCTGGAGTCACTGGATCGAGTCCCTGGATCGAGTCCCGTATGGGGCTCCCTGCTCAGCAGGGAGTCTGCTTCTCCCTCTGACCCTCCCCCTTCTCATGCTCTCTCTCTCTCTCTCTCAAATAAATAAATAAAATCTTAAAAAAAAAAAAATGGAGTGGTCCCTTAGCCTGTTCGTGGTCACTCCTTTGTTCATGCCTGGCACTCGCTTGCCTCAGGAGAGGTGGTGAATGTGTGCTGCCTGGGAGTGTCAGCCCCAGGGAGGGGGTGGAGGTGAGGGTGGGTGGGGGTTGGCCCAACCACCGGTTGTACTTTGCTCAAGACTCACTGTTTCCTCTACCTCCATTTTGAAATGTGTTTTTGCCTTGTCATTTTTCCTCTATGGTCCCATTCAGGAGCTGAAAAAAGCCATTTTGGAAGATATGGTGAGGTTAGGAAAACAGAGTGGACTCCATTCGTTTGAACAGGTAAATATTCCCTTCCCCGTACTTGTTACAACCCTTCATGCAGTGCTGAAAATTACACTCACCCAAGGTGACCCTGACCTAGATTCTCCACCCCCCGCATGCTGTGGCCGTCGGACGGGCTGTGTGCTAACAGACCCCTGCAGGCTTCCAAGCCGACTCTGCAGCAGCCTGCGTTCTGCGCTAAATAGGTCGTACGTCGAGTGAGACCATGCTTGTTGTCCTTGTAATCACAGACGTTCATAAATTTGAAATATTACCCTAGCTGTCACAGGCAGAGCGTGGGTGCGCATGGTTGGCCTGTCTCCAGGCTGCCTACAGTACTCAAGACCACAGTCCTCTCTTATTTTTATTTTTATGGGGACTGTCTTCTTGGCTACAGCAGGCGAGCTGACTTGCTAGGACATCGGAAAGATCGTGCTCCTCGGGGTCAGGGATCTGTCAGCCCAGAGTGTCTACCACAAAGAGGAGGAAACACAGAATGTGTTGGGAGGTGACACAGCAAGCAGTCCTCTCAGACTCTTATCTTTGCAAGTTCTTACTGTAACTGAGTTCAGAAGCACCCTTGGTCCTACTTACCTACGTCCTTTATACGTCCTCTTCGGTCAAAAATTCAAAAAGAAAAATTCTTCAAGTAGAGACATAGAAATGCTCCGATTTTTAAAAATTTTCCAGCGTGTCTTTAACATAATCATTTTTAATAAAATTGTGTTTCTCCACTAGCGTTCCCAAATATAGTGTTAGTGTTAGGGATCTGCAGGGTTTTTAAGAATTTTAAATTTTGTGTGTTCATTTTGATGACGTGAAAACATTTTAAAACCAGTTTCAAATGTAAAACTCTTATAGCAAGTATTTGCGATTGAGAAACCACTTCCACAGAGTCAGACTTTAATTTAAGTTTCAAACTGATGAAATCTAAACATAGTTTCAGAATTGTTTTCTTTTGAAATAGATCTTTCTGTTAATCTAGTTTGAGAAACACTACTTTACCCTCATCTGTCAGCATCTATGGCAAAAAAAGGCTTGGATGAATAAAATTTTCATTTAAAAAAATTATAAAATCAGAGGCCTTCAGGCAAATTATATTTATCTTTCTGAATGAAAGTTCATTTCTGGCATCATTATTTAAATTTTTTTTAGGACTGACTTCATTGTCCTTCCATTAAGAGGAGCTGTGTGAGTGGATCATATGATGATGTAGAGCAGGGACCACAAATGGGTGGTCCGAGACCCATTTGTTCTGGGCCTGTGTGTTCCTCTGAATGGGGAACTAGGGGCTCTGGGTGCTTTGCTTAAGCAGGTTAGTTCCTGCCACTACCTTGTGATTCCTGAGGCTGGCACTCCCCCTGCTGGGTTCGGGATGCATTGACCTGCCCCAGGACACGGAGAATCTTAGCATTTAGATGCTACGCAAAAAGATTACGCTGAAAAGCGGACCTTTGGTAAAGTTTCAGGTGTTAACCATTGCTCAGATTAGACCTTTACTGGGCGCCTGGGTGGCTCAGTTGGTTAAGCGACTGCCTTCGGCTCAGGTCACGATCCTGGAGTCCCGGGATCGAGTCCCTGGGTGGCTCAGTTGGTTAAGCGACTGCCTTCGGCTCAGGTCACGATCCTGGAGTCCCGGGATCGAGTCCCG